TACTTTGATTCTATTCCCATGTTAATTGAGTATAGAATGGTTAATTAACAATTCAAGTAGTCAAATTTCCTATTGTTCACATACTTATCATATTTTTTTTATAGAAAAATAAGTAACTACCATGAAATTGTTTCGATATAGAAAAACTTCACGGTTATCAGAAACATATAAGTTTGGTATTGCAGCTTACGTTCTATGATAGAGTGATTGGAAATTCTTTTTGTTTAATTTTATCATTAGAAAGTTTAATTAATGTTATGTTTTCGTTTGAGGCACACACCACAAATGAGTAACGCATCATGAATATATATGGTTTACTGATAAGTACTGACAAAAACAGTTCGGATTATTCATAGTACGGAATTATAATGAATTTTATCTGCTTACTTTTTACTGACAGTATAGTTCTTCATATGGTACTTATATGATACCGGGCATTTTAAACTCTTATGATGATAACATGAAATGTTTATTTCTAGTCCATTAAATTCACTTTTTAATTTTTAATAATATATTACATAATAACAGTGCTACAGTTAATAACATCTTGTTTAAAGAGATATGATATCTTTTTGGAGTAATCTTTACACATATTAGACAGATGACTTAGAAAAATGGCAATTATCATGGAGGGAGACTGCACTTTTGTACAATCAAATTATCCCTCGAATATGTAACCGAATGAAGTAGAAACCCACAATACAACAATAAATGTTGTATTTGTTTTCTACTTTTTTTCGTACTTCAATAAATTTGTTTGCTGTAGTTTATATCACGGATTGATTGAATTGATTCATTGGTTGGTACCCACGATTTAAACAGGAACTGAACTTGTAATATTCAAATCTCACAGTGTTTGGAATACAATTTACTTCCGAAATATTTGTTACGCGAATGACGTCAAATGATATCACCGAATGAATATTGGCATACTAATAATTTGCTTGCTTACTGTACACTTTGTTAACACATTAGGATTCTTATAGTATAATAGTCTGATGGATACTCTTATTAGGAACTAATAGTTTAATGACCGGTCAATGACAGCAAGAAGTGAATAGTTATTTTCATTATTATATATTGTTGAGTGAATTTGATACTGTTCAAAATGAAATATAGAACCTTCAAGTCTTGTGAGAGGCGATTCCTTAAATGGTGGTGAATATTTATTAACTTACATTCATTAACATCACACAGGTAGCGATATAATTTAAACTCTACTCGCTATTGCTGTTATTGATCTATAGTTATTCCGTAGTTATTAACTATAGTGCTTACAATTTTTTTTATGAAAAGTCGAGAAAAATCTGAATGTAGATCATAATATCCAACAGTTTCTCGCTAAGCGCAAAAAATTAATGATTTTTGTTGGAAAATAATGTTAGAACCGACGATATCGGTTACCAGAATACATTTTCAGAATTAATTACATACTGTTCATGAAAAATAAATCGCTTATTAGATGAATGATCCTAGTATATAATATTCAGTGATTATTAAAAAAACATTTATTCTTCAAAGGATATAATTTATCATTAGATAATGTTTCAGTAGATCTAGTCTAGACAAAAAACATTGAGCTATTCGTCATTGATAATCTTTCTCTTGCAATTAAGGTACATATCAAATTAATCATTGCACCGAGACCATCATAGCGTTTTCTAGACTTTAGCTCTGATCAAATCTCATTTTTATCACAAATTCCTTTTTTGGTAGGAATGTAGATTCCGATGTTTTTTATGACAGATTATTAAAATACTCTAATAAAAGCTGACATATATATATTTGGCCATTTTAGCTCATTTTATAATTTAAAAGCTGATATAAGAGTTCATTAAAGATCATACTACCTATAATCCAAAATGTATTGTTTAACTTATTTTTGAAAAAAACATTCCTATTACCATTGATTATTTATTATCATGTATTGAAATCAATGTGACCGTAATCTCGATTAGTTGCCAAGGTAGCAGTTAATGTGATTACTGTTATCAAATTAGGTTTTTTTTTCTAGACTGTTATGTGACAATAAATTTATGCTATCCACAGAACGATTATATCTTATACTTCCTACTTTTTATCCATATGACCTAGTTCATTAATCAAATAACAGTGGATAATAATTCAAAATCAGCTAGCAGAGCGAACATAATAAGTTGTGGAAAATAAACAACTTCTCACTATACTTCATATAATTATTTTCACCAATAATAAACTATTCAAAATATAAATTGACTGAAATTAATCTTGAATAAAACGTTTTGATTGTATGTCAAAATAGAATATGCATAGTTGTAACGACGTTTTTCCAGTAGTGGTGTTTTACACAATCCGGCAACATACTGATGGTCCTATGGGTTTATTCTTTTCTAACATGATTTCATAATTGATAATGGATCTATAACTTTCTCCAATTTATGATTAAGATATACTTATGAAATCCGATGCTTATAAATTCTTATAAAATATTTATTTAGGTCTTACAATCCTTTTACAACGAGCTATAGATTATATGACTTTAATAAAGGTTTTCAAAATATTGTACTTAGACTATACAATTATAAAGTTGTGAACAGGTCTTCATTGTTCTGTTCAAGTACCATTCTTATGCAACATTCATCTCATCAATTCATTTCTTTCTTTTTTGGTCAGAACGTACGGATAAACCATTTAACCCCATTTTTTCACTTAATGACTAAATTCACTTCATTGAAAACCTTCAATGTGGAAAAAAAATCGTATCATCAATGTACTGACACATTATTCAAATTCCGAGATAAAATGACAGAGCTAAACACCTTAGAGAATTCCTGATCATCAGTACAAATTAATCATATTATATAAATGTTACACTTAGTTATCATAAATTCAGAATCATAAGCTTAACGTCTTATACCAGTGTGGATCGTTTCTGTAGATTCTTTAATTCATAGTTTAAAGAACGGATTCACTTCAATCAAATAGTCAAATTGAATACTGTTGAGGTATTTCATATAAGGATAAAACAACTGTCAAGTGTTTATTGGTTATTTACATATTTAGCTTAGTTTTAAATCATGATCTCAACTTGAACACTGAATATAAGTGAAATTTGATTAAAGATATTATTAGTCAAAACACTATTTGAAAAAAATAGATATTTCATTCTTCCAATGTGTATGTTGGATTTGAAATGCTTTTTCTTACTAAAGAAACACTTACAGAAATCATATTATTACTTTAAAAGCCATATAAGCTAACATGATCACATGAATTTCCCAATCACAACAATTGCTTATAAGTATTTATAATTAATTGAAATAGTCAACCATATTTGGATGCCTTAAGGCTAATAACTTCAAAAGCATATTTAACAATTTTCCGATAGCGAAACCTTAATCCTATCCTAAATGAATGGTGTTTAGTTGCCTATGATGATGATGATGTTATGATTTCAGAAATGATTCAGTCTATGATTATTTTATGATTCACTTTGGCTTTTCGCATGTAGATCAAAACAAAACTGAACAATATATATATATATATGTCCTTACGATCAGTAGTAAAATGACTGCGGAAAAAATTCCTGTCTAATTTGACGGTTAGCGTTTTTTTAGCAAGGTTATTTTCTACGGGATTGAGTTGCCGACCCCATGCCCAACCTTCCCTCTTTGTGTTGGCTTGGGACCGGCGGTAGCCCTAGAAGAGCTACAGGGGGAGTTATTTAATTTGACACGTTCTTATCATTTCTATGGTTTTACACAAATAAGCCATGATATCGTCAAAAATGTTTTGAAGAATTCTGACAGAAAGTATATCGTTTAAATTTTTGATGTATAAAATGTTATTTTTAGATTATGATAGCAACTGCAGGTCAAATAAATATACCTCACTTAATATAGATTCATCATTGAAGTATTTTTAACTTGTCCTTTAACATAACTAGATGTTATTGATGTCATTTATGTCATTTGAACAACACCAACAGCTGGTGAATATTAGGTGGCACAGTTCTTAAAGGTTATATTTAGTGATAAGAAGTTAAAACCGACAAGATTGTTGACATGTGACAGCAACCAATGTATAGGTACGATTAAGAAATACTTCTAACTACCTGACACCATATAAGACTATATCAAGATGACCAGTCATAAATATAGTGATAATTAGAGCAGGTGTTCAACAGTTAGTCATCACTAAATAGCAAAGATCAACATTGAAACATTCACAAAACTGCATATGTTATTTAAAGTCATACAATTTCATTTTTGAAAATTTTTGAATGAATTACAAACGTTCGACTTAGTTTATTGTGAAAAGCATTTAGAAACGTGGAATTCTCGTCATGACTGTTAGTAATTCTGACAGTTTATTCTTGTTTTGAAAGCAAATAATTCAACGGAGATAAATTTAAATTGTTTGAATGGATTTTTCAATTGATCATTTATTGCTCATTACATAATAAATCATAAGCTTCAAAACTATCAAATTTTGATTATAATAACTTCTTTTTAATAGCTGAATTCACGATTCCATCTAAGCTAGACCACTATTGGAAACCTGGAAGCACTGAACTACTGTTTCGTCCCAGTATGGGACTCTTCAGCAGAGCTCATCCACGATTCCTCACGTGAGACTCGAACTCAATCTCACGCGCTTACGCTTAACCTCTGGACCACTGAACCGACATTCAACGGTGTCAATGCCAAACTTATATCGACACATGGTCTTGCGCAATCATGCATCCCTTATCTGAGGTAGATGCCTGTCTCTACTCGACACTACTGAGGAGTTCCATATCAGGAAAAACGGCCATTTACTGCTTTCAGGTTTTCAATGGTGGTCTAAATCATATCGACTCATGCATCCAACTAATAAAATTACTACAATCTCTGCAAATTCTATTCGGATAGTAATAATTTTTGTCTGTGATTTTGTTTCTCAACTACAGGACTATCTATTTCAGTTGAATTAGAAACAGATAAAAAACTGATATCAATCTATTTTTGTTATTTGCATAGGTTTTTAAAACTGATTTAATGATACTCTGCATAAGGAATCCATTAAATGAAAGACAGAAATTACATTAAAGCTGTTGATGATAATGACGATAAAAGTTTTAAACGGAGAGGATTTAAAATAAATATAATAACAATAATGCCACTGACATGGTAAGTTGATAACTGTCTCTTTTTAAATTCATAAACTTGGTTAAACTTTTCTGCTAGCTACTACGTTACTGGTACATAATAAGCTTGTATTCTTCTGTCTATAAATCATTTTGAAAGAGGTAAGAAGGGCAACATTATAGCAAATATCGTTTAAGTGTCCAGGTAATGGATTGCTAAATTCCCTTTAGTCACCATTTAGCTAAGTATGCTTTAGATAGCATTTGAAGTGAACGGTACTGGGTTCAAGTTCCAGAGTGAACATCAAATCTGAGATGCAGGTACATGCAGCTGACGAGCCCCAAGTGAGACGAAACGTATGTCCTGGATTCCATTGCTAGTCACCATCCATATTAACTTACAATGCTTGTGAATTAAGGCAATATCGAGGCAATACGCAGAGTATGCACATATGCCAATAAAAGACTGACCAATTGCAGTCCTAAACATCAATGGGAAGATTCAAGTAAACAATACCAAGTGTATTTAATACAAACATATACTGTTCTCTCTCATTTTCTATTGTATATGCTTTAACCCGCATATGTCAATTGATAAGTAGATTTATTGTCGTATTTTGGAGACAAATGATATATTAATTTTCTATTTATTTTGGACACCAACTCATTCCTCATAAGTTGATAAACCTTATTGTTTGATAAGCACCTTTAAGTGTAATATATATCTTATACTTAGTAAATTCAATATTTTCATCTCATTTAATGTGAAAGGGTAGGAAACAAGGTTTTTTGTTTCAAGTTATTATCATACTTTACATATTTGCTCTAAGTTTTAGCTTACTGAACGATAAATTTCTATGATCAGAAGGGGTTTTGTTGAGATTTTCGTAATTTCAATAGTTGAAATCATGAGTCAATTGAAGCTAGACTACCATGGCAAACCTAGAACAACTGGACAGCCGTTTCTTCCTATTGTGGGACTCTTCAGCAGTATGCATCCACGATTTCACCTCACGAGATTCGAACCCGGGACGTGTCAGTCTCGCGCACGAGCGCTTAACCATTAGACCACTGATTTTGGTGGTGTTTTGTTCTTTGAGCTGGATGGTTTGGTCGTGGAGCTTTCATCGTTCTTCCGAACGACATCATCAGCACAAACTTCAGCTCCACGACCAAACCATCCAGCTCAGAGAACAAAACACCACCAAAATCATCCACCTGAGCTACAAATCTTCTCCACCATCTTATTAGACCACTGAACCAGCACCCGACGATATTAATGTCTAACTCCGTAGATGCGCACTGCTGTGGAGTCTCATACTAGAACCAAAACGACCGTCCAGTGCTTCCAGGTTTTCCATGATGGTCTAATTCCAATTGATTCATGATTTCAACTACTGAAATTTCTATGGGCATTGATATTCACGTAAGATTGTTTTTTTTCGATTTTTTTAAATCTTAGTAACTGATACATTCTATGAATATTTCTCATCTATATTTCAAATAAAAACAAAATTTTTTTTAAAAAAAAACATTTTTTTTTCAAAAGTTACTGTTCCCCCCCCTCTCTCTCTCCCTGTTATTCATTTGTAAAATGAATCATTCATTTAATCCTATTTAATCCTTTTTATGTAATGAATAGAAAATAATTCATAATTAAATCATCTTCACAGAGTTTGATCAACTTGAAATACTCTTTTTTTTTAAAATTTATTTATGATTTAATGATAAAAATGATGTAGATAAAGAAACGAATTTATAGAATTTTATCAGAAAATTAATATTAATATTAATTAAAGTGATGAGACTAGAATTTATGGATGAACCAATTAGGTCTTGGATTTTTGGTGCAAAATTCACTCATCCATTTGGTTGAATAAAATTTTGGCAATATAGATTATGTCAGTTCGTGATGAAAACTTGAAATCTAATTTCTAACCTTAACTATCAACTGTAAATCATAATTTTAATTCCTTACATTGGTTTATATAACTCATTTGGTTCTAGTTATTAGGTGGGCACTCTCAAGGTCAGTTTAGAGTTGCTCAAAGGTTGTCCATAAATTATAGTCGCACCATTAAAGTCATTTCAGTTTTTCACTTAATAATAATAATGTCTTTAGCGTATATAAACTACTAATATAGTATTTCTGATAAGTTATATCACATTTATCTATTTATTATGATTTCAGGATGGGTTTTGTGCATATTATATAGTAACTTTTTAATGGTTGAGATTATGAGTCATTTGAAACTAGACCACCATGAAAAACCTGAAAGCGGTGACCAGTGGAGTTCATCCGGGTCTGTTGTGAGGTAGTAACTCACTGATGACAATGGTGGATGTGTCGCTCAATTTCATGGATTAGTTGAAGTTAGACATTAACACTGTTGGATGCCGGCCGGCTCAGTGATCTAGTGGTTAAGCGTTCACGCGCGAAGCCAGCAGGTCCTGGATTTGAATCCCGCTGGGTGCGGGATCATGGATGCGCACTGCTGAGGAATCCCATACTAGGACTAAACGGTCGTCCAGTGCTTCCAGGTTCTCCATGGTGGTCTAGCTTCAAACGACTCACGATTTCAACCTGTGAAAATACAACTTATCATTAGATTTTCTTCTTTTTACTCAAAACTACAAATAAAATCTAATATACCGAGGTAACCTAATACTATCAAATTGCTTAGAATAAATTAGATAGCAGTGTCAGCATTTGTACTGGTGTATAAAGAATTAAATTTCTAGACCATAAAACTCATAGTTTTCATTTATAGCTAAATTTAGAACCAGAGATCACATGTAATGTTATTAATGTCAGACAATACTGGATAACTGCAATATTAGAATGTGAATTTTTACGTTTAAGAGGAAGAATGTGTTTGTAAAATCTCAGTGGAAGAATTCTTTCTCTATAAGACTCTTCAGCAGTGCAAATCCACAATCCCATCTCATGAGATTCGAATCTAGAACCTATCAATCTAGCGCGCAAATGCTTAACCTCTAGATTACTGAATGGGCATCCAACAGTGTTAATGTCTATTTTTAACTAATCCATGAAGTTGAGGTGGCGGATATCTAGTGCTTCCAGATTTTCCATGATGGTCTAACTTCAACTGACTCATGAATTCAACTATTAAATTAAAATAGAAATTATTTAGTTTATTCCCAAAAGTATATTTATCATCAACTAAAAGAAATCTACACTTGGGAATTTTAAAAATTACGCATATGCTTTGTGATATCATCTAATTAATACCAGATTTATAATAAAGTAATCACTGGTGATATATAAAAACTGTTCTAAATGTATCTTATTACGTTTTTAAGCAATGTAATTGCAAGAAACCATTTAGAAGTTATTTATATCAAAATATATAATAAAATACTTGGCTTCATATGTCACAATCGAATGAAAACAGCCTGTGGCTTTTTTCAAAGAAATGATGGATACGTAGATCATATTGTAAGTTATGTCTAAGAATCATAAAATACGCGTAGAATAAATAAAGTTTTTTGTCTTAGAGAAATGAGTTTAACATCACGACTTTGAGTTTATTGATTATCGTTTCACATGTCAAATCGACTAAGTTTAAAATTTCTCCTCTTGTTGACGTATATGTCGTATTATTATTATTATTAACAAAATGTCATTGTTGTTTATAATATGAAGTTGCATACATCCAATTTCCTTATACACTCACGTTATATTTAATATTACTACAAATAATGGTAATTTTTTCCACGATATATATTCGTAATTATTTTCACAGTTGAATTCACGAATCCACGAACTCGACGGCCGTTTCGTCGTAGTGTGGGACTCCTCTTTAGTGAGCATTCACGATTCCTCACGTGGGAGTCGAACCTAGTACGTTCGGTCACACGCACTTACACCTAACCTCTAGACTACTGAACCGACGTCTAACAGTGTTAATGTTTAACTTCAATCGATCCATGATCTACAATCCCTATATTGATACATATAATTAATTAGAACATTTTATAAAACAATCTCGGCATAAAATCTTTTGTGGTAAAAGTTTTACGAAATATTTTAGTTCAATAAATGACTGAGTTGATTCGGAATAAAACATTAAATCACTTCAGCTTAAAATAAATTGGTCATATTAATTATAAAGATTCTGGCAAATAATCTTTGACATTTCGACGCACATCAAACTAAGTATTGGTAAACATGTACTTTTCGATATCTAAAAAGAGTAAATGTATATTTTGCATTAAAATAAGTCGAATTCAACAAATTTATCATTAAAAAAAACATGACAAAGAAACTAAAGGCTAACAGATGTTAATGTTTATTTCGGTTTTTACTGTGACTGAAACTATAGTATAAACAGATGATGAATCATGATATAGCGGAGACAAATACATATGGACGATTAATTTCATATAAAAAATAAAATATGCCTTGAACAAAGAGTCAACTACATTGTAAACATTGAATTCTAAATGATGTGCCTGATATAGATAAATGTTGAGTATTATATGTATATATATAGATGGATAAGGAGAGAGAATTATGTAAGATAAGATTCAATATACCTATAATAAAAGGGGTCTTGTGGATATTATAGTAATTTAATAGTTGAATTCATGAGCCAGTTGAAGTCAGACCACCATGGAAAGTCTGGAAGCACTGGGCGGCAGTTTTGTTTTAGTATGGGGCTCTTCAGTAGTGCGCATCCAAGATGAGAACTCAGAGCCTATTAGTCTCGCGCGCAAACGCCTAACTTCTAGACCACTGAGTCGGCACTCAACAGTGTTAATGTCTAACTTCAACCAATCCACAAAGTTGCGCCACCGCCCATCATTGTCGTGGGTGCGCACTACTGAGGAGTTTCAAACTAAGATGAAACAGCGTCCAATGCTTTCAGATTTTCCATGGTGGTCTAGCTTCAATTGACTCATGAATTCAGCCATTAAAATACTTATAATTATCAAATATTTCGTGAAAATGCACTTTAGCTAGTAGTGGAATCTCTTTATTTGAGACTCGTCATTTACGTGAACGTCGACGCCAGTGTT